TCGATAAATTAAGACCAATATCTCTAACTCTAACTTCCACGTTTGCAAAAATTGCAGAGCGTAGAGTTTCAACATTTATAATCAACATCATTAAACCGCATATTGATCCATCGTCAATACGGAAATCAAAAAGGGGTGTCTAATACCCATTGCCTGGTTGATATTTATCATAAACTAATCTCACAAACCGGATTCTATTAAAGTACACTCGCTTTACTATTGATCATAACATAGCTTTTAATAGCCTTCTTAACATGGATGTTTGTCCATCAATCATGCAATAGGTCGTTGACTGCCTGACTAACAGAAGGCAGAGGGTTAAATATATGAACTCTTTGTATAAATGGGAAACACTTACAGGAGGTGTTCCTCAGGGAACAATTCTTGCTCCCATCATTTTCCTTTGCGTCATTGTGCTCTTCTGGAAGAGGAACTTGTGAACACCGGTATCCAAGCCTGGAAGTACGTTGACGATCTGACATAGTTATAAATAACCCAAGTTTCATCAAAAACACCTTGGATATGCTTCATCAGTGGTCAGAAACAAACAACCTAAATCCAACCAAGTGTCAGATAATAAGAGTATACTTTGGTCACAAAACACTTCCAGACCTGGATATCCGCCTATCTAACAACATGCTACCTGTTGTTAATGAGGTTGAACTACTAGGTGTCATACACACGACACACTACCTGTTCTGTCATACAAAACCATGTTTGTAAGGAACAAACCATGTTTTGTAATATACGAAAGTTATTCTGTCTTTACAAAACATGTTTTGTAAAAGACAAAACCATGTTTGTCTGTACAAAACATGTTTCGTAATAGACAAAATCATGTTTGTCTGTACAAAAACCATGTTTGTCTGTACCACGGAGTAAATTCCTCCATGTCTGTACAAAACTGTTTTGTAAACACAAAACGATTATGACATCACATGTTCCTATTCGACACTGGTATTACTGTATCATTTACCTATTTATATACCATCATTATCAGACTACTACTACTGTAGAGACCCTATACTTAGTTACCACATTGCATACTTAATATGTACGTTCCTTTAAAATGAAATCCACAAACGAAATAAAAGACACAAAAAAAAGATCTTGTATACTGTACATTTATTCAATACTTTCGAAACTTTACATTTTATGAAGATTTGGATCTTTTTCAAAAGTATAACTATATAAATACCAATTGATTGCAATACATCGTAGTGTCATAGACATGATAGTTGTACTTGAATACAAATATATCTTTCCCCATCAGTGGCACAAATATAATGAAATTATAAATATACCATCTGTCTTAAAAATCAGGAAAACCACCAAAATTCAATTCAAAAATATATAGCTAATTTTAAAACAGCAAATAATTTATTGACGGCCAGTGGAACTGATCAATCCAAATAAGTTTTCACTGATTTATAGACCACATACCTTTTACTACAAAAATATGATTGATTTCCAGCCAATTAATTTTTCCATGCAAAAGAATATAAAGATATTACGAATTGTGAGTTTGCGTCAGGAAAATATAATAGGAGTGATATTTTGCCCTGTTATCCCCAAATACTAGTGAAAAAAAGTGAAGAAAAATAAAGAGGTCTAGTGGTTAAGACATCAGACTAGATATCTGGAGGTTGTGGGTTCGTTCCCACCTGAATCACTTGTAAATATTTTTCACTAGTATTTGGGGACATACTGAGTAACACCTCAGGTAGGGCAAAATATCACTCCTATAATATAGAGTTTTATTTATTTGCCTGCCAATTGGTGATGAGATATTTGATCATTCTGATTTTCAAAAGAAGGCAAACAATTTAGCCAAATTTTAATAATATACTGGACTAAGTAATTAAAACAGTTAATTGTATTTTAAAAGTTTTTATACTATCACAGCTAGACGTAATACCTAACACTTTCTGTAGTGAATAACATTACATAAAACCCAACTTATCATTATCATCGTTTTATGAAATTCAATTTGGTGTGCAAGAGAGAAGCCACAAATTTGTTTCTAGCTAGTTACTATTGTAAAAGAATGCATATAAAATACAGAAAAGATTCCATTCAATGCTGAAGCCAGTGGTAGTTTTTTGTATATATTGCTAAATTTGTTCTAACTATTCTCATAAAAAGTTTCTTAAGTACACAAACTGATATCATATATGACATATTTACATTATTTGTTCTTTACAATAATTCACTTTGATCATTTTCTTTGTTCATTACGGAATTTGAATATATTGATCCAAAATATTGGGGGAAAGGCTGATGGGGTGGTAAAGTAGAGGGGAATGATGATTAAGTGAGAGGGTACAAGCTGTCAAAAAAAGGTGATATGAGGTGTTTTTTTAATTCAGCATATATTTTTTTGCTCTGCAAATTACGCAGTGGGTGTGGGGGAACTTTTTTTGGAGGGGCATATACCCTAATACACTTACATAGATATGCTGCTGCCTTGCCTTCATCAGAATGCGTAGGACATTAACCCAATCCTCATTTGGAAAATTAAAAATATATTGACAATTTAATTTTAGATTCTGAAGTCCATTAAAATGTTCTTCAACACAAGAAAAGAATGGCTGGTTAAATTACTTTTTAGTTAATGCCAATGCATTACATATTAATCAAACTTATTATTTTAATTTGTCAGTCAATCAATTAATAATCTATCAGAATCACAGTTATGCTTCTGTTATCTAGAGTCTTGATCTAAAGATCATTTTTATGAATATTAATATTTATTATTTTGTTAACAGTTCCTTCTGGTCTTAATACATATTTTTTAAATTAAATATTTACAAATCATTAAATTATATTTTAAATATATAATATTTATATATAAAATAATATATATTTTTATACATTTAAGGAATAAGTATTTATATTTCTATACTTAAAATTAAATCTGAAAGCAATATTTAACTCATTTCAATTAATTGTGTATTTGTTTATTCCACTTACAATATAACCATATACATGTTAGGCCTAGTAGTTAAACTACATTTAGTTTATTATTGCACAAACATAAAAGTATTAATTATAAATGTATATTTTGATTTAATTAGCATACCTTTAAAAAGGAACTCAAATAATTGACATTTCAAAAATGCATGTCTACAAAATACTGATTTTACTGACAAAACAACACTTTTGATTGGAATGATTAGAAAACTTTAAAATATGAAAATACTGTTTACATTTACTATTCAATATGAAACTTTTCAAGATAGGTGTTTAATGTATATTTAAATGCAGGTAGTACATATTTAATGACATATTAAACTATTTATATAAATTTGCTTTGGAAATCTTTTATGAAATACTGAATAAGTATATTTAAAACAGTAATAAATGATAACAAGCAATAATCAAAACAAATAAACAAAAAATATAAATTAAAATAAGACATACAAAAAAATAAATAAAAATAGCATAATTAAATTTGTTTTGGTGTACAATATTACATACAAGAATTATAATTAAACACTTGATTTGAACACAAATATCAAGGTATGTCATATATAAATAAAGCTTAAAGAATGCTTAGGTTAAAATATGAACAAAAATAAATATATTTTGTGGAACATATACAAGCATGAATACCATAAAACTAGATATGCATGACTTCTATCTTGTGCAATATAAAAATAAAAATAGTATTATATATTTTATAAACAATAAATGACACTTCCACTTCATTGTTAATGTGTTGTTAACCTTTATCACCATGATCATTTTGTCACTATTCTTCATCATTGTCATCATAATAATAAATTGTATTTTTTACCTCAAGCCAGAAACAAAAGGAGAGCAGCGATGGATTTGAACTAGGTATCGTCATAATTCAAGGCACAAACATACCAGATTAACCAACTGAACTACAGTATGCTGTTCCACATCATATTCTACTATCACTCATAAATGTGATATAATTGTTACATTGGCTTGACTCTGAATTCCTAAAAAGGTTTTAAAATGTCAGCAATACCTCTTTGAGAGATTCAAAGAGATTATTTATAATACTAATAAAAAGTTCTTTGTTCATAAGGCATTTTTTAGGAAACATATTCAACTTAAACAACAGATTAAAGAAAGATTGCATAATTTATAAAATGCCCTGTGCCATAGAGCACTTTTAGGCATGTGATGTACCATAGGGACATCGCACAACAGGACGGTAGGCTGTGGAAGACGGCTTATCAGACCAAGCCCCACCTAATTTTAAACTGCGAAATCTCATTATTCTTCAAGCCCGGTTTCTTAAATTTCCAGGACATTCTTAGTTAATTTGTGATTTTAATGTTAATTAAGAAGTTTATAGTATACTGAATATTTTTTCAACATTATGTTTTGAAGGACTTTAAAGAACACCTACTGTTGACACTCCCTGACCTACTGTTAGCACACAAGCAAATGTCTTGTTAGGCATTGCACCATCAGGTACATTTAGGATTTCTATGCCAACTTAAGAGATTCAATCCAAAATGCTTTGATTTTAAATAATACTAAGGTGGGCACACTGAGTTGTACAACCATCGGCTGATGAATCCATCTCCGCTTTCTATAAATGCTTGCCGACAAGATCCGGTCTGCTAATTGTTGATGGCGAACTGACCGGATTGTCCTGTGGAGTCGGAGATATGCAATTGAAAAAGGGGTGGGCTTAGCCTGCTGACTAGCCATTGTCCACTACCTCTTGTTGTGTAAAGTCACTATTATCTGAACATTGAATACAGAGTACAGTAATTCATAATTTGTGAAATTTCTAATCAAGTTCTGTGCTTCTGATCAACTTTTACAACCTGGTATATAGTATAAGAACTGGTGGTGCATACGAGTGAGATCTCATCACTTTACAGCCAAACCTGGAATGATTGTTTAAATGCGAACCACCAAATATGGCAGCATAATATGACACCTTTGTATCTTCAAGCAGAAATTTTAGCCTATTATTTCGTAGGCTCTTAAACTTGCAACCAGTACATAGATGAACCATAATAACGTAAGAAAAGAACTCGACAAGTACTTTGTAAACGATTTTCCACCAAGTTCACCTCCAATAAACTGCAAAAGATGAAAACAAGTTGAAAATTAATGGTGGTTGAAAACAAAATACATTGATCAACCAATTAAGCAATGAATGAATGAATAAATTAATCCCCTAGTCATTCCTTCAGCCGGTTTGTTAAGAAAACCATTGTCATCTTTGTCATCATTATCTTTGTTAGTCATCATCACAATTGTCATAATGCACCATCATAATCGCCATCACCATCATCATCATTGCCATCACCATCATCATCATTGCCATCACCATCATCATCATTGCCATCACCATCATCATCATTGCCATCACCATCGTTATCATTGCCATCACCATCGTTATCATTAGCTTTGTTAGTCACCATAACCTTTGCCCTCATAGTTACAATTATCACCACCATTCCCATAACCAATTAATAGTATAGAGGCATTTTTTTGCAATGAAGTGTATAAAGTAGAGGTATATCATTATTGTTATCATCATTTCTGTCCTCATCATTGGATTTGTTATCACATAATTGTTCCGACTAAAAATACATAACTAAATCATGCAATTAATTGTCCAATTAATTTGGCAATCTATCAATATAGTGGAGTGGAGTTGAATAGCTTGGTGGTAAGATGCTTGCCTTCCAATCCCAGGGTCGTGGGTTCAATTCCTGTCCAAAACAACTCCACTCCCTAAACCTCATATTGAGATTTAGTTTGTGTAAATCATCATGTGTGTATGTTTGTCTTTTACAAGGGTTTGTCACCTACAAGTAGGACAGCGATATATATATATATATATATATATATACAAATATATATATATATTTATATATGTGCTATTGATAATCCTTGGAGGTAAATAAAAAAAATTAAATATAAATATAATTTACCTTCCGTCTGATGGCGAGTAAAATGAGGCAGACAATACCAACTGAGGTGAATAAGATGACAGCAAGATCTAGGCCTGTCGTACTGACTACAAAATCTTGGTTCTTCACTTGACAATAGATTGTCTTGATTACCCACGGCAACCCCAAGCCTAGAAACACATTGACGCTGTTGCTCCCTATTGGAAAAAGATAAATGACATATTCACATAAAAATATTTGAAAGAGTACAACATCCTATATCACTACAAAGACAATAAGACATTCAAGCCATTATAAAGCTCAAAACAGACACTTACGATTGGCCGTTGGCTCATAGGAGCCAACTATCAATTATGGTTTAGAGAAATTGCCCAACCTTACCTACGTAACAAATTTGTGTTTAACAACAACATTACTATTATTACTATTACTGTATATCATGTTCTTTAATTTAATTTTGTTTAATTAATATATCTTGCTTTGTATTAATTTTTAGTGATATATTGATTGTATTGTGAATATTTTTTATTGATCTGTGATCCACTTTTGAAACCAGTACTATGTTACTGAAAGTGTTATAATAAATTAATAAAGGCTTAAGTTTCAGCAATAGGTTTAGTTTTATAGGGCTTTTTTTCACTATCAAAACTCAAAGAGTTCAATCACCAAACACATAGAGGTTTTTTGCATGATGCACTATACAAATCCAATTATATTATTATTATTTAAATAATTTATAAATTTTTAATAAAAAAAAAAAATACTTTTCTCACAAATTAATGAAAATATAAATGATGATGTTCCCATTTTTTGCAAGGATGTTTATATTGCCTGGAAACCAATTGAAAATTTTTTTGTAATAACAAACCTGTAAACTAGCAAAAACCAGAGGTTTTTTAAAATATGTGTTAAAAGTATTTATTTTGTTATGGGTTTTCTAGAATTTACTATTATTTTAATAATTATTTTAGATATACTGCTGATTATTAAATGACAATGAAAATAATTTGCCAAAGTGGGATTAGTAATTTATCTAAGATCAAATTTCGAAAATCCATTAATCCTGACGGCTTTGACATTTCCATCAAAGTAATGAGCACACAGCTAAGCAAACTTAAACATGATGATACACTTCGTGCATCGATGTCATTAGTTTAATTACCAATAATAACAAGTCACTACAAGAGACATTTCAAAGCTTGATCTTCGCACTTGACTCAAATTTGTACATAAATTGAGTTTTAACCATTATACAACACTGAAGTGTGTTGATTGGATGATCAGAGATGAGTGGTTGGTAATGGTCACCTCGACAACAGCGCTCTTCCACCAACCTAATACCATGATTAACCACATCAGCGCCACAGGGGTGTTGTTCGTATTTAAGAATGTACAAATTTGTTTCAATGCCAAGGAAAGTTGGCAGCCCAAAGGCTTTGATAATGAAATGCTTACTTTAATATTATTATTTGGAACAACTATCTAGTAAATAGTTCTGTGGTTATATTATTTATTTATTTATGCATGAGAATATTACATCAGTAATTTTATAAAATCTATAAGGTTTTAACAGTATATTACTAATTTTTTACTAAGTTATTATCCTTTAATACCATGTCATTATTTTATATTTTTATACACTCTTTATATTTTCACTAGCTCTACATTCAACTTAATATACCTGTTATATTGCCAATAGCTGCATCTGCGTGTTTGTCTTGTAACGCTGCTGTCCGGCTTGCAAACGTATCCGGTACACTCGTTCCTAATGCGATTATGGTAATGCCTGCAACACTGGCTTTGATGTTCAATACGCAACCGATCAGAGTACCAAGCTAAAGAATATAAAGTATATAAAGGTAACAATATTTAGATTTACTGGAGACATTAATCACAATATTAACACTAATCATCATCATTATTTTAATTTTAACCACCATCAATACCAGGGCAGCAACAACATCATCACCATGATCATTTTAATAAATATTAAATCATCACCATCCATAATTTGAATAATCACACCATATTCATCCTCACCATCACCATTAGATAACAATTGAACAGAAAAATAAAATGCAATATTTTAATCGCTTACTGTACTTTGTATGTTTACTTAAGTAGACTACCTGGAATATTCTTTTACAAAATATTTTAACTACATTACTCTCATAAACAGGGGCATAACAACAAATTCTACCACGTAAAACCAAATAAAAAACAGTGTTTATCTTTTAAAAGTGGGCTCCTTTATTCTACTAACTATATAATAATAATAATATTGAATTAAAGGCAAGGTTTTAAGGCTTTCATGTCTTTTTTAATGGAATAATGGCAAATTGATACAAAGATCACATCACTCTATTCAGTAACATACAACATTATGCCATCCTTGCAATCCTTGCATGAATGCTGCCCTCAAGGTAATGAATGCAATATGTTAGTAACTTTGTCATTTGCCAAGAATGCAAATGGATAAAACATACCTCAAAACAAAATGCTGGTTTGCAATGTTATGTAGTGGTATGTGGTGTTATACACAGGGCCGGCAGAACGTCTTTCAAAGTGGGGAGCCCACTGGTAGGATGAATGGGAATATAAATCAGGGGGATCTGGGTTAAAATTTATAGGATGGGGAACAACATTTTTCCCAAAAACCCCAAAAAGGAAGTGAGGTCTGGGGAAAATTTTGATTCCTAGATGGCAGGAAATGAGCTTTTAATGAATTTTAAGTTGTTCAAAATTAAAGGTTTCCTCCCCCTCTTGAAAATGGTCAGGTAAACTTTCTCATTCTTATTACAGCAAATAGGCCTGTTATGTGTGTATACACACATAAAACAAATTGAGTAGTTGCATACGTACTATTTTTTCCATGAATTCTGGGGCGGATCCAGAGATGTTCAAAAGGGGGAACCGAAAGGGAGGCCGAAATTTGGGCCGATCGAGACAACAATGTCCTAGGGGGTCTGGGCATGCCCCCGAAAAATGTTTGTGTTCTAGACGCCCGAAAATAACATTTGAGGCGTTGTGGGCTATCATTTTTTCCCTTTTCTTTCTTTTTTTTTACCTCCCAAAAGGAAAGGGGGGGGGGGCCGGGCCACCCCCCCCCCCCCCCCCCTAAATCCGCCCCTGGAATTGATAAACCTCAAAGAGAAAGTGTGCTTGGATTCTCCCCCAGGAAAATGTTGATTTCTAAATGGCGGAATATGAGCTTTCCCACATACTAGTGTCTTTAAATTAATGACTTATAAGTTCTTGAAAATTAAAGGTTTTCCCCCTTTTGAAAACGGTCAGGTAAATTTTTCTCATTCTTATTACAGTAAATAGGCCTATTATGTATGTACCAATAGTAGGCCCTATACATACGTTGCACACATATTCTTTTTTCCATGAATCAATGAACCCCAAAAATAAAAGGTCAGAGGTCCTCCCCCTAGAAAGAAAAAATCAGTTCGCAGGTCTTGAAAATGTAGGTCTAGAATTCTATCTTTTATGATTTCTTTTGTTTTGCCCAAGGGAGGGCCCTGTACCCCCCACCTCCAGATCCGCCAAAGTGAATTGCAAGAAAATGTAACTCGGTCGGGGACTGGATAAACACTTTCTTTCCCCTCCCTCTCCTCCTTCTTCCTTTTCTTGTAATTTTTCTTCCCTCTTTCTTTTCTTGCATCATACAAAAATCTCTCTCACCCAATTCCGCTGGCCATGATACAGTGCTATGCACTGCTTTAAATGAGAACCCTTTAAATTGGCTGGTATGTTCATACTAAATTTTTCCTTTCATCATTAATAATAGGCAAGTATTTTGATTGTGAGTGATAACAGGAATAAGAAGCATTACTTGAAAACATTGGCATTAACTTGTTACCTGTTCAACAAGAGCTGTTAATACGCCAATAAGTACCAATGAAGTCCCAAATGCTGGCCATCCACCAAGCATACTCCTGAAAATATAATACAATAATAATTATGTAGCAATGTTTACAGCATAGAAGAAAGTATAACAGAATATTATTAAAAAATATAATATGAAGATCAGAAAAGAACTTCATCTGGTTCTAATTTCAAAATATAATGAAAAATTTCTTTTTTCGTTGAACCAAGTGAGAGAAAAAATACACTTAACAACTGAACATTTAGATCACAAACTTTTTCAACAAAGGAAAATCTCCAGTCTGACAGTCATAGAGTCACCGGAACGACGGCACTTGGTGGCTGTTGAGACATTACAAGGGGCTCATACAAACTTTCAAGCATTTACAATCAACTGTTATTCTAAGAAATACAATGTGGTTGGGCTCTTTGTAAATTCTTAATGAGCACTAGACGACACACGACTGTCAGGTTAATAATATGTTATCTTTCAGTCAGTGGAAAAAGATCATTGATTACCATCAAATCAGTAAGAGTAGGTACGTCTTTTTTTTTACTTGGTTCAAGAAGAAACCTTTAATAATAAAAATTATGAAGATGAGTACTGTAATTTATCCACCAACGATGAAGGTTAATGTGGAATCAATAGAGTATATCTTTTTCATTATTGGAGTTCTAAAAATAGATTTTTAGAAAACAGTTGATAACAATAAAATATCTAGCAATCACACTTAATGATCTGCTGTAACAACAAACAGATTAGTGCATGGGATATTAGGTATATTAGACGATAATTGCCAATTCTATCTAATAGATATCAATCAACAAATTCAAACAAAAAAATGTTACAATGGCCTAGAAAGTTAATGACAGAGGATTTCACAATGGCATAAGGAGTGTGAGCATTTTGAGGATTTTTGCAATGATGAGTTTTTCTTCAAGATAAATTTATTATTATTATTAATATATTTTTTTTTTTTTCAAATTCAACTTAAATTCAAATCCAAAAGCAGAATGCCTGCCTTTAAGAGAATGAAATCCATGAAACAATGACATACAAAACAAGTAACACAAATAAAAAAGTCATCATTATTATTATTATTATTTGAGCACATAGAGACCTCGTTTATGTGTGCTATATAAATCCATCTATTATTATTATTATTATTATTACCAATATCATTAATATTATTATCATTATTATCATCATTATCAGAATATCTGTAGTTGAATTGTCCTTACATAAATTACAAATTATCAATATCTTTATCATCATTAGACCTAACATCATTTCATTCTTTATCATTATCAATTATTATTGTCATTATCATCATTAGCATCATCATTATTATGACTTCTGCCATGGAGATTAAATAATGAGTATCATCATAAAAATTGGCAGAGCAGTACATGCTGGTCTAAGAAAGAGGTGATTAAATTTTGACTGGTTAATAATATATCATATTAAATTTATAAGAGGCAACGTTTGACATATTTAATATGGACCACAATACACTGTTCCTTTTTCTAGGTTACAACAGAAATTATGACAATGATTTTCATTTACATTAATCTATGGTTATGAATGGTTATCATCACTACGACAGGAGTTATTTCTTTGATTGTCATGTTATTGGCATTTTAAGCTGGTTTTCCACTAGGGGAATTTATTCGCGCGAATCAAAGCGTCGGTTCGCTTCCTGAGTTCTGATTGGTTGCGCATTTTTTCTCTAGCAAAAACTCCGATAGAAATGTGAATGTACATGCATGAGCCGCCGCTTTCCATTTGCGTGAATAAATTCGCCTAGTGGAAAACAGTCTTTATAACTTGATAAAATTGCTTACACTTTTCAGATTTTTCAGCAACAGGATTAAGTGTTGCAGTAATCATTGGGACATATTGACAAATATGAACATGTTCAGCAGAATGACTATCTGATAAATTTTGCACTCAAAATGTAAATACAGATTAAAAGGAAAAATAAATATATAATTTATACAAGCAGAAGGATTATAGAGTAAGATACAGAAAAGAGGTTAACACTAAATCATCTAGCAGAAGTAGAGTATAGTACTATATATATATATATATATATATAATCTAGGCCCTATATACAGTATGAACATTTGTTATAAATACTGGAAAAAACTTTAAAAAAAAAACCCGATTAGACTATAAAAAGATCCTACAAAATGATGAAATAACTAATGATGATAAGCATATCAAACCATGTTTTACAAACTGCTTTACTAAGATGAGTTGATTGATTGATGATTGATTGTTCTAAATGTTGGCTACATGACTTAGAATAATTTCATTAGGATTTGTTATTTTTCATTTATTCTTTTAAAACCATATTTATAGAGGGTCACCCTTCCAGCGTATCCTGGGAGGTCGGCTGATATCCAGGAGCCCTCTTAAATAAATGAAATAACACGATGTATCAGGGAAGTTTGATTACGAGGCTTAGGAGATGGAGATGTGTTTTGACCCTCGTAACAGTAGGTATACTTTTACTTGGTTTTACTACATGACAATGAGGGACTACACTTCAAGTACATATTCCTCAACATTATACTAAAGGGGATGATAAAAATCAGAACTTACCTTGGAGGAACAAATGCAAACAGAACTTTCCAGAAAAAAGAAATAAAATGAAGGAGGTAATCAATCATTGAGGGCGGTATAACATTCCCCTTCTCATCTTCATCGCCTCCAACTGTCATTGCACTGTATCAACATGAACAGAAACAAAAATTATAAACATTATTAATGATTATTTTTATATGATGCCAATGTACTGTTGCAAAATCAAATATTCCACAGGGGTACTCACTGATTCAATAATTATTCATTTTGATCTATAGATCATAATAATGTGGAGCACATTTATATGTTTAATTAATATTGTTATTAAATTCAAATTGGCTAGATTCATTTCTCAGTCCATTACATAGAAATCCAATTAGGCAACAGCTTACTATACAGGCAACATACTTGGGGAATAAGTTCAAATTTCCTTTTTGTAATCAGTTATAATGCAATATGGGAAAATGTTAACAATCTATGATAATTCAGGCCCACAAAAATGAAGAGGAATATGAAGTTAATTCGAATCACCAGACAGTTAATGTTATATTGGGACAAAAATGTGAATTAATCATAAACAACATGCTACCTCCTCAGCACCCCTGGGAGTATTTCTAGTTATGCGTGTAATCAGGACTACTAATTTCATTCCGAATCATTCACCTCCTACTAGGCACCTATTTATACTCTTGGGTGAAGAGAGGTATATGCAGATATTAGCCTGGTTCTCACGAGAGCCCTAGTATCCAGATCGGGAGCTAACCGTTAACACTAACCGTTAGCACCTGCGTGAGAACGCCCGATCTGTTAGCGCTAACCGTTAGCAGTATCCGAATACCGCTAACGGTTAGCAAGCGCTATCGGTTAGCAAGTTGAGCGTGTTTCTATCGTCAACCAATCACACATACGAGTTTACAATTTCCAGTTTCTTATTGGCCAGTGATTCGATCATCATATTTTTGGTATCCAGATCGGGATTTTCTCGGATGGACGCACAATAGCTATGGTTAGCAGGATCCAGATCCTGCTAACCGTTAGCAGCCGTGTGAGAACATAGCCAATGTGACGCAAGCACGAAGAGCATCGGTCTGGATCCCCGACCTTTCCAATTGAAACCCCAACACCTTACGTGCTGCGCCAATGCTTCTGTAAAATCTATATGGAAAGACCATAGAGGCGAGATAGAGTAGGAAAAGTGGAGGTATAGACACAATATTAGTGAATAAATGCGTTGACCTAAAAAGAACATGAAGAGAGGGAATAATGGTTGGAATTTTAAGAGCAGTGACCTAAAAAAATATTTAGAAAGGAGTGAGTGCAGAAACTTGACGGCAATGATCAAAGGACTGTAGGGAGTGCGAGTGAGAGCTATGCCATTAACAAGGTGGATATACCTAGGAGTATATGGTCATCTAGTGGGTGGTTACCTTCTACTGTGCTGCCGACAAGGCTGCAACACTTTTGGACCCAATGACCAGGGATAAAATAGAGCTTTGTAAGAGAAAGTAAAGGCACTATCAAAATGCTCACTAATATCTGGAAAAAGGGAGAAAACAGACTTTTAAATTTAGTGACATAATGCACAAGGTAAGCTTCAAAAACCATTTAATGCATGCGGTATACTGCTGACATCCCCAATGACTTACATGTCTGGCATACTCTTAGTTGGCTAAGATTGATTTTTACTTTAGAGCAAGTGCAAATAAATCACTTGGATTACACACACTGCTAATAATCATACACCCACGAATGACTCAAAAATCATGTTTATGCAACGTATTGCGATTGTTGCTATTTTTTTTTATTACTCTGCCAAATGAGATATTTTTCAGAAGATATTTTTTAATAAGCTTTTTTATTTTATTGATTAGTCTGTCATCTGAGCTTTTCAGAAAAATATGTTTACAGTCCTGTATAAAAATGTAAGTTTTTAATGTATTAATTTGTCAAACTAAGTTTTTAATGTGTTAGCTTGTCAAAATGTTAGTATGAATAAAAAGATAATTTTCAATAATCCTGTCTTCAAAATTAGTTTCTAGAAATTTAATATATTTGTGTTCTCCAAAATTTATTACAGACAATATTATTTTTACTATATTTAAAATAACCAATTAGTTGCAGAATAAAAGGTACCATTGAAAATTAATTTTGGTATTTGTTCAATGTAATCAATAATGCAAAGTAATAAATCTGGTAGCATTAAATACATGTTCTTATTAAAGCCTTTCTTGATAATTTGATTTCTGGGTAGTCCACTGTGCATATCTATAAATAGTAATTCACATAGCTTGAAGTGACTTAGTTCTGTGCTACACTTTACCTGTATATTTTTTTTGTATAGGACAATCAGTGTATGAAACGACCCCCAAGTCTTAAAAGGTTATTGGACGATTTTTGTATGTCGGGCGTATAAGAGCAACCCCCCACCCCCACCCTTTCACTGTCAGAATTCCTACTTTTTTGCTGCCCTTTATGGTCTTGATATTGCATCTAGCTGGCTAAACACAAAGCCAAATGTAGGGCTAATCTTTCAATTAATACCATTTTATGGGCTTTTAAATGTACATCAAAATCTTATTTCCCCGCATTTAAAATTACATTCATTCATACTAAAAGTTAGTAGCTTCCACACATAAGACGAATATGATTTAAAAATTTAAAAAATATGTGTTGTGCTCATAAGATTACCCCCTATTTTTTTTATCGTAATTTGCTATTTTAAGCCTCGTTTTATACGCGGGAATATACAATATTAGCCATGGTAATGTGTTATTACCACCATATATGGGCAAATCATAGGCATTGTCATATATAACATGTTAGTGCGGACTGTGCTTCACACATCTCATTATATTACTATCTACAGTATAACTATAAATCATTTAACAATGGTGAGTATACATATATTAACTTAATTAATTAGCTCATAAGTAATTGTAATAACTTTTTACTCAATAAATTTATCAATAGCATGGACGAGATGACAACAAAAAAAAGAAAAAGAACAAAAGGGCCAGAATGATTTATTGTTGTGATGAAATGGAAAATTTAATTTGATGGGAAGAGTAATGAACAGGTTAAATCGTGAAGTTGTAACAAAGTAGCAGAGATGACACACCAAGAAATGAAGTGCTGGCACTAATTGGGTCAGCACAGTGCGGCTTCAGAGCTGCTTCACATAAAACACTCTGGTAACTTTAAGCAAGATGGATGATAATGTGCTGAGTTTAATGGGTTGTGGTGCTCCACGTCTTGTGTGTTCGTAACGGTTCTTCACGTTTTCAATAACAGTGAAATGCGATAATGACAGAAGCAGTTGAGTCTCCACGTTAAAGTATTGCTATGCATTAGCAATGTTGCTTGTTTAAACGTGATACTCCACAAAACCTTGATGCTAATTTATTTATACCTGATGCAAGGAATCATAATATTAATTTCTTTTTAGTTTTAAATTATCACTTGTAAGTGATTAGTTTTTATGGAACTAAATAAGAATATGCTGACAGTTATAATGTAATGAAATAACAGAAAATTATAAAATAATTCAAAAATACATCAAAGGCATCAGGTAAGGCAGATTAAAATGAATTTCCAAATAAAAAAGGAAGTTTTCAAATTCATCCTCATGAAATTATATTTCAGTTAGTTCCATGAACTTTAACACAGTGTTTGAGCATGGATGCAAAATTATAATTCCATTATTCTTCATATTTGCTGTAAAGAATCTCAATTTTACATTTTATCTATTTACTGCAAAATAGACTACCTTATTTTAATTCAACTTGATTACTTTAGTTATTTTTTTTTTTTATCATTTATAATATTTTTAGTGATGTAATTTTAATATATTATTTTTTTTAAACTTTTTATATTATTTTAACTGGTTGCCATAGCTAAATATTTGATTTTAAACTTAGCTTGGCCTCCTTCCATACACTTTTTCTGTAATTTATTACTGTATTATTCTTTGTTACATCTTTTTACTATTTTTCATGTATGTTGTGTGAAGAAATTAACAAAACAAACAATATTTGAGGACTGTCGTCAAAAAGTAATGGGTAGGAAAATACAGTACCATCAAAAGGAAGTGGGTGATTTCTAAGATAAGGGGCCTCAAAAATATAATAATAATAATAATAATAACAATAATAATAATAATAACAATAATAATAATAAATATAATAATAATATATTATTAATAATCGCTGATGAATATAATAGTTATGAAAATTATCATCAAAATGTCGATGAAGTTAACAACCGATATTAATCTCAAGGACATTACGATGTCGATGAAGTTAATAACAATTACGTTATGATATGCAACATCATAATAACTATATTTTTTAGAATAAATGTAGAGAAAGAAGTCAAAACGAATGGTAAAGCTGAAAGGAAAGGAGACAGCCAGATTATAGTGAGACCCATATACATTTATAGGATGCTGAAACGAAGCCAAACAGAGATGGGAGAGTTTAATTGAGGTCTTATATATTCTTCTTTTCTAAAAATTGTACTTTGTTCTTTAATGTGCACATGTGCCATATTGCACCCAGGACCAATGGTTTAAGGGTCTCATTGCGAAAGACGGTGCGCTATTGAAACTTGCATTTCAGCCCTCTGCAAGCTGAAACACAAGGAGAGCAGGCCATAGAATTTGACTGGTACCAAAGGATCTACAGGGTTTAGTACACAGAGTGGCTACCACCAGTTTTAAGCAGACCGAGCTATGCTGCTCTTTGTGAATGAATGAAATACAGTATGTCTTATGGCTTCAGTTTGTTTGCTTTTTTTTATCTTATTCCTTTAGGCACATGGCCAAGGATTACCAAATGTGACTTAATCACTGTACTATTAGATAGGAAGCAGTCCCTTCACATGACAATCATATATATACACATGTACATCAATTAAGTCTCTTATAGAGTGGATTTTTTAGTATGTTCTTGACTTCTGGTACAATCAATAACTACTCTTTATTATAACATTGTTATTTTAATTCCCCATTAGAGATGATTACAAGTTCTATTTTCAAATCTTTCAGTAAAGTGTCTTTCTGATTGGCAGATTGGAAAGCACTCGTTCTTTCATATTTGTATACAAATATTTTACATGTTATTCTGACCTTCTGATTTGGCCCTTCCATGTTTCATCTTCACTATCCGTCATTAAATTAGCTACTCGGTCTGCAATTTCATCTATAAATAGAGTAATTTTTAAAAATGAGGTGATAGTTGATGATGGTAGCGGATATGATGTTAACAGAGAACAAGCTATTTTCAAATTAGTGGATGGATAGCGTGTTACAAATATTGTTGTGTTTGCATGTGGATAAACATGTCTTACCTCCATTAATGTTCGCCACAGCAGCTGGATGCTCTCCGAGCTTAGCTCCGAGGCTTAAATTCTTCATGTTGATTACAAAGTTTTTGTATGTCTACAAAATTGAAGATATATAATCAATACAAAAAAATAATTAGTAAAAAATGCTCATAAATCTACTTAGAGCAAGCAGGTGACAATTTTTTCAATTTGTATAAATAGTTTAATATTTAAAAGGCTTGCAAAAAGATCAGAGATGTTTTGAATAAATTGAGTAAGCAAGAAAAAAAAAATTCAAATTGTTTTCCTTTGAAGCCTGTCAAGAATTTTCTCTTTGTTATTTCTAAAGATAGACACACTCCATAATCTCTAAAAGACCTATACCCATGTTCACACAAAGACACTAAATTTTGACTAAATTTAATCAGATGGCACAATGCTCCATATATTTGCCTTCACATGTGGAAATAAAGCATTTAACACAGTGAACGTGCATGTTAGATGTTTCATCTCATTTTCTTACCAGCATCTTCAAATATGGGGGGGGGCAGGGGATTTAGAAGATACCCACATCTTATGTTGGACTGTCAGCCCATGGTGTCCTATTATGTAATAAATAAATAAACTTAATTCATATTAGCAGATTGCCTTATGAGGGTGGCCAATCGTCTAAAAAATGCTTGTTTTTGTGCAAATTTATGCGAGTATAACACCGCAAAAGGCGGTATGAAAATATTTGTACAATTTGTAGTTCTCACCGTAATATCTTTATTTACATGGACAACAATTTGTTTGCTCGTTTCACCATGCTTAAAAGACAATGTGGCTGAGACTTTTTTGAAGTCAGCGGTACGAACGCTGTCACCTCCAAGTGCTGAGCCATCTCTATTTAAAAAGAAAGATGGACATTAATAGAATATAAGCAAAAATATAGGTATATTTATGCATAAAAGACATACAAAAACAGTCCATTGCAGCATATATATGCTGAATTATGTAACTGGAAAAAATTAAAATATAAAGCATAAAATTGGCAATTACAAATTTACAAATCGTTATTAAAAGTATATTGCACAAATAATAAAAATTACATTAGAAACATTAAGAACAGACAAGCGGAATTAAAGTGAAAAATGTAACATAAATCAAATTGAACAATTGAGAGTATATACTGTACATAAATTGAATTTTTATTCAATTTACTTACTAATTTGCTACTTAAAATCCTTTTCATTAACACATTTTAAAGAGATACAGTACATTTTAAATACAATAAATTTGTTATGATTCTATGATAATGCTTTACAAGTAGCTGGCAGGAGTTTAACAAGTAGCTCAGACACTAAAGTCCCTTTCAGGCAGAGCTGCATACCAGCACGCCGGCATGGGTTTCTGTCTGAAAGCGTCAATACACCAATATACTGGCTTACTTTAGGCAACCTTGCACCCTAGTAATATTGCCGCAATGTTGCGGTAACCTTTACTAGCTTGCTGTCTGAAAGTGTCTCCAATTCAAACCTTCTCAAACTCCCTGATATTAACCATATTCAACAAGGTACTTTCTTATACACTGCCATTAATTCTATTCTCCCTAACCATCTATGTAATATGTTTACCCTAAATCACTCCATTCACAATTATCATACTCGATCCAGAAATGATATTCATATACCTAATCATAACACCAACTATTTTCAACACAATATTAGATACACTGGTCCTATACTCTGGAATAATTTACCATCCTCAATTATGAACTCAGTTTCCGTGAAGTCTTTTACCAATAAATTCTGGAATCACCTTGTTTCGCAATACAAAAATTAATTTAATCGTGACTCGTCTTGCTTGTGTGTGTTTGTGTTGTGTGTTGGTTTGTTTGTTTGTTTGTTTTTTTGTTTGTTTGTTTTTTTTTTGTTTTTTTTTTTGGATCACTGTGTGTTTTTGTGATTTTGTGTTCAGGCCTGCCCAATACAAGATTTTTTTTATATAAATCTTCTCGGGCATGTGCCCTCTTCCTTTTGATTTTGTTTCACAAACCTATCGTTTTTAATGAACTCTGTTATTCAATTGCAAATGGAAGAAAATAAATGTATTTTTGAATTGAATTGAAAAAAAGTCTACTCGATATTGCGGCAATCAAGCCGGCGTGCGCATTTATGCATAAACACACAAGGTTAATGTTAAAAACAATTGCGCAGTGGTATTTAAATCGCCAATATTTTGCCATTCTATAGGACCCTTTCAGACAGAAAAGCGTAAGATTACCGCAATATTGCGGTAACAGAGGTGCTGTGTGAAAGGGTATAGATCGGTTATTATGCCGGCATGCATACCGGATTATTTTGACAACATATATCTGAAAGGGGCTGTGACCCTTAGGAAGAAGCAAGTTACTGCATGAGCTAGCCCAAGTCTTGAACGCGTTGAGACTTATGTATAAAGCACTATATAAATCTAATTACATTATATTGCATTACCTAAAATTAAATACTGAATGCTCAGGTACTCTGTATAATCAAATAGATTTTATAAATACTAGAATGTAATCATTATCTGATTCTAAAGTTAACACATATCCTATGGGAAAAATGCGGATTGGAAAGCAATCATGTGGGATAATAATAAAGAGAGTAGATGACATTGATGAGCATTGTAATGAGCATCATTACCCCCAAAAATGAGGAGAAAATGAGACAAGGAACAATCACGAGAGAATACACATAAACCAAACAAGTAATAATAGGAATACTGTATATGATGAGGATTTCATTAAATTTATTTATTCGACCCACATTTACAATTACAATGACAATAAAATGTAATATGTGAGAAAAACAAGAATTGAAATGCTGGACAGGGGTAGCTTAAGCAAAGTACATAGCTCAGATGAGCCAGCTACCCCTTAATGATGATAATGATGGTGATAATACTGATGATGATGATGATGATAATGATCATGATGTATGCATGCCGGCATAATAACCGATCTATACCCTTTGCACCTCTGTTACCGCAATATTGCGGTAATCTTACGCTTTTTTGTCTGAAAGGGTCCTATAGAATGGCAAAATATTGGCGATTTAAATACCTCTGCGCAATTGTTTTTAACATTAACCTTGTGTGTTTATGCATAAATGCACACGCCTGCTTGATTGCCGCAATATCGAGTAGACACTTTCAGACAGCAAGCTAGTAAGGGTTACCGCAACATTGCGGCAATATTACTAGGGTGCAAGGTTGCCTAAAGTAAGCCAGCATATTGGTGTATTGACGCTTTCAGACAGAAGCCCATGCCGGCGTGCTGGTATGCAGCTCTGTCTGAAAGGGACTTTAGTGTCTGAGCTACTTGCTAAACTCCTGCAGCTACTTGTAAAGCATTATCATAGAATCATAGGTATAGGATTATCTTAGGTGCATACTAAGTTTAGGCTATTCTAGATTATGCTATTGAGCCATTTAAATGTAACAGAGATGAAGGGTGAGGTTGAAAGATCCGAATACAACTGTTGTGCTAACCACGACAATGTAACAGAAATTAAAATCAAAATGGAAGAAAACTATTGTTACAAGTGTGCTTCTTTTTTTGATCATTTATTTCAAGTATTTTGCAAAGAAATCATCATGTCTATTAAAGTGCACATCTTACCAAATAGATTAAAATATATCAATGATTATACCATTTTATTTTGTGGTACTAATTAATCAGTCATGGAAATGATTATGAAGATTACATACCCACCATATTTATTGATTATAATTTTCTCTGTTGTATTCTGTCTACATAAAGTAAACATTATCCATGATGTAATATGTGTTCATATGAATTATGGAAAATATAATAACGTTTTTCAAAGAAATGACATTCTAATTTCTTTAAAATCTTGATAATCTTTCAGCTAGCTGAATACATTAGTAGCTTTCAAATAAATGACAGAATGGATAATTTTTTTCAAAATTAACCAACGTCTAAATAATTCAAATCCTTGTTGTGCAATTCGCTTGTATGTTTTTGTTGGGTACCTGGTAGGATTTAATTCATTGGAATGGTCATCCTCAGTGACCACTGGTAATAATGTAAAGCATATAGAAGCAGATTATGCTGGCGGCTACTGTTGCTGTGTTGTCGGCTGCTGTTGCTACGATGGCGGCTGAAGTCACTGCAGTGGCGGCTGCTATCCTTGCGGTGGCTACTGCTGTCGCTGCAGTGCCGGCTGTTGTTTTATATGACGGCAGCTGCTGCTGCGGTGGTGGATGTTGTCGCTGCGGTGACGGCTGCTGTTGCTTCGGTGGCAGCTGTTGCTGTGGCGGCTGCTGTTGCTTCGGTGGCAGCTGCTATTGCAGCAGTTGCAATTCAGCTACTTTTGCTGCAGTGGTGGCTGCTATTGCTACAGTTGCGGCTGCTGCTATTGCTGCGGTGGCGGCTTTTGTTGTTGCAGTGACGGCTGGTGTTGCTGTGTCTGGTGTTGCTGCATTGGCTGGTGTTGTCGCCATTATCACTATGCACCCTTACACTCTTGCAAGTAAATTGGGGCAAAACGTCAGTAAATTATTAAAAACTGACTAATTTTACTTAACCAGAAAAAGTTGATAAGATGTGTGCATTCTTAAAATATGAGCAACCAAAGATTTTTAATTTTATTTCTCTTTGTATTTTGATTAGGTAGAAGTACAGTATAGTGTATCACCAAAAAAAAAATCTAGATGTGTAAAAAAAAAAACAATATTAACATATTAAATTTGAAGAATGTTTGATAATTTCAATATCAATAAAAATAAATAATTATACTATTATTGGGAATTTATATACTGTAAATTATAAAACAATGTTAAAATCAAATATACGGTTTCAACTGAAAGTTATGAATATGTAAGTTATAGTATGACTGATTAGTTTTTTCATCGATAAATTTTGCATCTCTTCTTCATGAACTTTAATTTCTATGTTTACCTCAGACATTAGACATGTATAATAATAATTATAATATATAATCCTGCTCTTACGAGAAACCTTCTTCAAGCCTTGTCACAATGGGTGAACAGCACAAAGGCAGTAGGCCGTTCTTAACAGCATTGACAGAATACAGACTAATTAATCTTTTCAAGATTGTAACAAATGGCCATGATTAATTATCGGTTGAAATGACGCAAAATTACACAATTCTTCACAGGAATAATTGAAATGATCATGATTCTTAGGTTGAAAGGTTCATTGAGATTTTGAAAATGGCTTGTGGATTAATAGGAAATATGGAATAAGGATACTAGAGATCAAGTGTACAAAACTTTGTATATTTCAGGAATATACTGTATATATTCAATTATTGTTAATGAAATGGTTGGAGATGTATATTATATAATATATCTTTATGCATTATACCTTTAAATAGGGAAGTAATAATTCAAATGGATCTTCGCAGAACAAAATACCATCAACTGAGATTTGTAGCACACCACATGGTGTACTGACTACCAATCAATCATAAGGCTTTCACTACTGTGTAAAGCCCTTCTCCAACATTTGTTTTTATCCTGTTTTGTCCATTGCCACTCTTTACTTGCCCAGTTTGTTATTCCCATGGTGATGTCATCCCTCCACCTTTTCTTTTGTCTTCCTTTCTCTTCTTCCCAGATCTTGCTTGCCAATTTTTTAGCCTCTAAGTTCATCTATTGTCTTCTATTCATTGTCCTATTCATCTCCATTTCATTTATTCAATCTTCTCCACGTCTTTAACTCAATTTATTTTCTCTTACTTTGGTTTGTCTCACCTTATCCCATAAAGAGAGATGTACCACCTTCCTTTCCATAGCTTTTCTGTTCCATATTCTTTGTTGTTGACCAAGTCTGCTTCATAGGTCATGGCTGTCAGGATGCATTGGTTAAAAACTATGTTCTTAGTGACATTTGTATGTTTCTATCCGTCAAAATATCTTCATGCATTCCATAACTTTTCCATCCTGCTTTCACTCTGATTAGAATTTCCTCTGTTGTGTTTGTATCCATTTTTAATGTCTGCCCAAGGTATTTATATTCATCAACATCCTCTATTTGGTGATTTTTTTCTATTGTGTTTATTTTTGCTGTTTGTTTTACTGTTTGTCATGTATGTTTTACTGTTTACATGTTTGTTTTTTTCTTTTCATCAGTTGAGTTGGTCTATGCAAACATGTGGATAATAAAAGTGGGAGCTTCCCACATGAAAGATTTTAAAAAATGTATGTTTTACTGAAAGCTTATAATTAATGATTATTGTCAATTCACCATGCAACCCTTCAAGAATAATAATCTATCTATCTTCTTAACTATTGAGGGATAACTACAAACTCGTATACCATGAAAAAGACCCACAACCATCAATTATAATTTTTTATTATCATTAACATTATTGTTATTACTATCATTATTATCTATCATAATTTATATTGGCAAAATGTTTTGTGAACACCATTTAACAAATAATTTCACTAATAAAGAAAAGATTGTATATACCAGACAGGTATATAACTTCTGTGACCTAAACAACAGGCTAAATATTCTAATAATAATGGTCAACTTATAGAGTGTATATTATGGAGACCTCTATGAAAAAATGGACCAAGAAAGTAGTACTTAAACCGGACACTCCCTGCGTCGTACGACTGTCGCACGACGAATCCACATTTGCTTTCGGCGAGCGATAGACGACGCAACGCCGTCTGCTGATTGTCAGTGGCAATGTGAACGGATCCTCATTAAAAAGACGATCCGTTGTGTCCGCATCTTCGTGTGCGTTCTTCATCGCGTTGCCGTCGCTTCGTCGTCGCATGCATTGAGTAACCGGCTTTAATCTAACCCTGCTAATCCGACTCCAAAGACATGCTAATCCGACTCTAAAAACTAAGCATCTCCCTAAACTAAGCATCTATTAGTCCATTCATCCATCTATCTATCTATTTACAGTATCCATCAATCAATCAACCCATCCATCCATCTTTAAAGTCCATTCCCTTTCCATCCACTCATTCATCGTATATTTATACCGTATTCATCTTTTCCTTCTCACCCATTCATCTATTCTATCAGTTGATTCACTTTATCTAGCCATCTATCATTCCATTCGATTCACATTCATCCATCTGTCCATCCATCAGTTTTTCATTTATTCATTAATCCATTCACTTCATCCATCTTATCCATCCATTAGTCTATCTATCCATCAGTCAATCCATCAAATCAGTCCATTTACCAATTTATCCATTTATAAAACTATCCATCCTATTCATCCTTTTACTCTATTCATCTATCCACCAATCTATCAATCCCATCATCCTCACATCTGTTCATTCACACATCTATCACTCCGTCCGCCTGTCCGTCAGTATGTTCATTCCTTCATCCATTCATATATTTATCCATCCATCCTAACCATCCATCCTAACCATCCCAACTTCTCAACCTTGAGGTCAGACGTTTAATTCCTCACCGAGTATTTTGCATGTCCTTGGGCAAGGCACTTTACCTACAGTTGTCTCTCTCCACCCAGGAGTAAAAGTGAGTACTTGGTAAGTTCAAACTCAACATTATGGAATTTTCTCCATGGACCCAAGTATGTGTTCCGTATATCCAATGACCGGGGAAAATGTTACGTGCATAGAGGTCTCTACAATATGCACTCCATAAATCAACCATATTATTATCCACAGTATCCATTTAAGATATCTATCTATTTAGTATTCCAGCCATTACATCTTGCTGATTTTTTATCACATATCTTACATTGTATAAGATTTCTAATGAGAGTGAGTGTTAAAATCAGTGGCATAATATTTTGCCAGTGGAGTTATCCCTTCAATCTCTAAAAAAATTCAGAGTTACTCAAAGCTTTCATCTGCCGAAAAAAAGTGCTAATATTAGAATGGCTGTAGCCTGCACACTACATACTAAATTGGATGAATTTATGTGTATATTAACTGACGATGGTAAACTAGGCATCTTCAGTCATTTGCAGTTAATGCCTTCAGATTTACTAATGGAAGATTAGACTGTAAGATGTGCTAACATGTTGTCTTAAATTCCCACAGGATCAGTACGTAACTTAAGCGCTGAAGACAATGCTAACCGACAGCCTTTTCAATAACCTTATACGGGTTTAAGTTTAATATTAAAAACTAAAAGCCTTCTGAATCCCAACTCGTGTACTTAATTGCGGTATATAAAAAACAAATATGATTCATATATGAAAAATATCTTCTGCTACTGCATATTAACAAATGTTTATTAATTTTCTCGATTCCATATAGTATCGGTACTTAAGATCAACCAAGATAATCAGATTTGCAGTTTTAAATTAAGAAAAACTTAAGCACAGTGCTAATACATTTTATAGTATTATGAAGTCATTATATATGTGAAGGAGACTTACGTGGGTGGGCAAATTGTAAAGGAGAGTGAGCGTATTGGTTGTGTGTATTTACTTGCACATGTCTCATATTTACTTACATATTACTGTACAATATTATTATACTGCTGTACAATGACATTTCAAACAATAACCAAAGCTAATACATTTTATGGAATATACCAAATAAAAAGAAATCACAAATATAAAAAAGTCAATGTACATGATATTTTACACAAAGCAATTTATGCAAATATTGAGTAAGTTGTCAAAACACAGCCTATATATTGTTAACCACAAAGCATATCAAATATGTGATTCATATACATTTAGTTCAGATATTTAAAAAAAAATTAAAAGATAAATAAATAAAAAGTGGAATCAATTAAACCACTTTAAATCATGGAAGAACACTGGCAAAATCACCACCAGAAGTTAAAAACATAACCACCAGAAGTTTAAAACATATTTAAGAAACTTAGACAGAGATCAAGGTAAATCAATACAGACACAAATTTGCAAAACCCAAATGTGTCTTAATATTGTTTGTGAATGTTGATGGATCGGATATGACATACCATCCTAAAACAAGGTCTGACAATAGGCCTGTAGCAAAAGGACATTTGTACAAGGCTCCATGGCATGGCTACCCTAAAATGAATAAAACATCAATAAAATGGACACATTGTTTAATTTCAGGACTTACAAAATGCCTAATGTGTATGTGTATGTGTGTATAATATTGGTATATTGGTACTGTATATGTGGAGGAGATGTTATTTACAGAACAAAACAATTCTGTTTACTCACAATGTGTAGTATTGTAATGTGACATCACCGTCAGAGCCCTTGCTACGTACCACCGTGGCTCTGATCACCCCATTCGCATCCGCCGAGTACGCCGCTTTGTCAAATGAAAATTCTCCTGGTTCTGTTGTCAAGGAAACAAAGATAAGCACTGTAAATCAACTACTAAAATGTACCATTTAGTTATAATAAATTATGTTCATAATATACACTGAATTCTGTGCATTATCTTGACAAATTCATCGGTATAATCTTGGTTCCAGATTTGTTGACGATATTATTTCCGACAGAAGAAGCAAATTAATAGGTCATTGCTTCACGTTCTTTAATGAATTACATTAGTCTGCAATTTAACCAGGCCAAATCAGGAAATTGAAAACTGAGGTCTACACAATGTTGGTGAAGCCCAAGCTCCACAAAGTACAAACTAATATTCACTGATCTTTTTATTATTATTATAATTATCACTTTTTAATAAAGGGAAGCTGATTTGAAAGCAAATAGTGATTATCATTGCTTAAGAAGCCCCCAACCATTTTCTGTATTTATTTTGTTACTGAGCTCAAATAAATAAATGGAAACAATTTTTGATACATAATTCATGAGTAAAATTATTATGATTAATAATAATAATAATAATAATAATAATAATAATAATAATAATAATAATAATAATTTTTATTATTATTATTATTATTATTTTAACAGCAGCAATATTAATGTCAGTTTTACCCAATCAAGACATTTTCATGTTTCGATAACTCTATTTTATACTAAGCAATGCTATTGATTTCCATTATAATAATTATGTCAATAGTATTGTTATCAGGTCAAATGTTATGGTAAATAATTTTTAAATATTAACAACATAAGAATCATAAATAAAAAATAACAATCAAAATAATATAAGAAGATGCAAATAATGATAAAATAACAATTACTAATTAATTATTTAATCATGAAAAGGAGTAATTTATTTTATACTTATTTTATTCATTCTGGCAAAAATAATTAACAATATAAAACATTACAAATACAAAAAAGAAAAAAAAAATCAGAAATTTACAAACAAAGAATAATTACCGTCATCATCAATAATTGTAACTCTAGCTATACTTGGATCCCCCAGTCCTTTTGCATGTACCCCTTCCGGGCTTTTCAGGATCACGTAAAATTCCATATCATTTTCATATTGGTTGTCATTGATAATTGGGATTGAAACAGACTTCTGGCTCTCATTTTCCCCAAAATCCTGTAC